AGAGACAATTTAGAGTTACCAATCAGCCTAACATGCATGTTTTTGGACTGTGGGAGGAAACCGGAGTACCCGGAGAAAACCCACGCATGCACGGAGAGAACATGCAAACTCCACCCAGAAAGGCCCCTGGACCGGGGTTTGAACCAAGGACCTACTCGCTGAGAGGCAGCAGCTCTACCAGTTGCGCCACCGTGCTGCCCTAAACTCACACAGCCAACTGTTTTTCATTAAGAAGTTGTTTCCATAAGAATCTGTGGCTGTTTGCAAGCAGAGATATCTTGTAAATAACCATGGCTGTCAACATGAGCAGACCCAGGTCCAAAACAAACGGCTGCCATCTTTAAAAAAGCTCCAAGTTTGACAGCGTTCCTGCCTTATTGTAATAAATGTCTAAATACATACAATCCAAACTGCAAACACCCAAATTCCAGGATCATGACGGTTTTAACGTTACAAGGTATTTTAGTAGAAATATTATGAAATGTTTGCCCGATCTGGCCCCAGAGTCATGACTGGTTTTGTCCCAGATTGTAGTCAGACAAAAGGAGCTCAAAGAAATAACTAAAACCTTTTTTTAAACAAAACAAAAACACTTGCATGACAAAAATACACTATAATATTCTTGAGGAGCACAAGGAATAGTCAGACAAGGAGAACTGAATCTGAGCCATAAATGCAATATAGTGCATGGATGAATACTGGACGGAACAGAGCGGTCCATTCAGGCCGAGGCTGACGAGATGAGGAACAGCTGAGCTGACCCAGACATGGTGCAGGTGAGACAGGGCGTGGCAGGAACTGGGAGCAGGAGTTGACTGAGGATAAGTAAATAATGGCAAAGAGGAAACACAAGAGCTGCTAAAAATAAAGAAATAAAAAAACTGGACCAAGTTAAAACTGCACAGCAGATGGAGACGCCAAGTATCTTACTGGTCAACCGGATGGGCAATACATCAGTCACACTGAGACCAATCTTTTGTGTGTTTTAGGTTTTGTTGAAACCTTGG